CCACGTGGCCTGTGTGATGATTCTACATTTAGAATCATCTATCCTAAATGTAGACTCACCCCTGCTGTCCCACTGACCCCTTTGCTACTTGTCCTCACTTGTATTGAGGCTATATTTATCTACATTTTATCATCAAATCTAAAAAAAGCAAAAAAATCCAACACATTTACCTGAATCTTACAATGAGGACTTTATCACATTAAATAACCATCTAGTTTCCATACTAGGACAAATGCGAATTACATCTTTCATACAGCTATCTGAGTTTCAAAATAATAAGTAAAATAAAAGATGCTGCTTTTTAAAAAATTGTATAAAGTATGTGACAGAGTGAACTTAGTAATTTTCTTTCTCTGAAATTTATCATCATTATTAGTCTTATTTCACAGGTGTGGGTTTGCTGACAGTCACCTGAAGCCAAATCCCCATGATCACACAGCAGACAAAGGACACAAGAACAGAGGGACCCAAAGTAGTGACAGTGGAAGTTATGTGGAAGGGGGAAAAGCTCTCAAAATTAAGATGGGAGACAACACAAACTTCCCCTACTTCATTTCTAGGTCTCATTTGAGTTTAGAGCACTTCTGGGCTTGAATTCAAGCCAGAACTCTCACTGGCTTCCCTTAAAATATTCAGAACCTAGACCTCACCTTTGACATCTCTGAGTTCAGAGTTTGTCTCAATCTCAGTTCATGCCCATAGGAGGTCCTTACAAGTCTATATAGTAATCCCACTGGACAAGACAACATACATTCTGCTTAGAGCCCCTTCTACTGATGAGGAGGGCCCTAGCATGTTTCTTAAATATGTTGCCCGTGTTCCATGCCACATCATTCAGGCTTCCCCCTCCCACCCACATTACAGCTGATTGACAGAGGTAGACACTTCAATGTGGGGCTGTCAATCTCTAGTCTGGCCAGGGACTGAAGAGGTAGCCTAGAATGAAAAGACTCAGCCTAACTAGAACTTGAGTTTTGGGGAGTTTTAGATAGATGTGGAGATAAGGGAAGCACTGGAGATTTCCTAAAGGTACATGATTTGGAAAGATGTATGTACTCTAAGGAGACAAGATGGGATGTGAGTGAACCAAAATGATGAGTTAGCCAAAATTCAACATAGTACAAGACAGGCAAGAGAAGCAGCAGGCAAAGAGGAGATAGGTTATTAGTCACTCTGGGCATGGAGATTGGCATCTGCCTGGCACTCAGAAAAGACAATGATACAGTTTGCAGCCCATTGGTTCACTAATTCCCAAATCTCATTCCATGACCCTTAAGGTAGGATTACAGGGCTATTCCTAAAATTTTGCAAGATTTTTAATTTCCTACTCCCATCTGTTTCCTTAGAGGAAGATCCCATCATTGATGAGACAGGAGTACATCTCTTTCTTGAATGGGAGGACCTAAGGAGAAGGGAAAACAGTCACAGGTCAAGCAGATGGGTTTTCTTTTTCAGCAATGGAAAGTTTTTGCAGGATAAAATATCAGAGCAATGGTTTTAGTAATGCTTCAATTATGCAAAAGAACACCCCTTAGTCTTAGGGACATGAATGTCTTAACAGAAGCAAAAATGTTCCCACATAAATCATTCTTTTCAATCACTATCCTCATTTAGAGGCCTGGGGTGGTTAGGAACAGCAAGAAAATTAATGAGGGCACTTTTCATGGTTACATGGCTCCACATCAACCTGAGATGCTCTGAATCAGAGATAGTGGTGGAGTTGCCAAATGAATTTTGAAAAAGCTCCCTAGACAAGCTTTTATTAAACTTTAGTGTACATGAGAATCACCTGTGAATCTTAAAAATGAAGACTCGTTCAGTTGGTCTGGGGTGGAGCCTGACAGTCTACATTTCTGATAAGCTCCCATAAGATGCTGATGTCACTGGTCAGGGGACCATGCTTAGAAGAGATTGTTATAGGATCCTTGCTACCTGAGCCAAGAAATCTGCCTGTGTAACATCATGTCATTAGTACTCATTAGAATACATGGGTGAATCACAGCCTCCAAGGCTTAGAGTGCTATTACATGTCACTTGATAGGGAACATAAATGAACCAGCTCTCAATCCATTTAGTAAAGAGGAAAAGACTTGAAAACTATCCCTGGATTCTAAACCATTAAAAAACTGATGTCAGTAATTTTTTTTCTTAGCAAATTTGTAGCTTTTGAGCTAGAAGAACAGACAGGTTGGAGGGCTGGGCAGGAAAGTTGGAGAACAGTCTGAGACAGTTCCAGCTAGTGACCTTCTTTCATGAATAAAACCTTAACCCTTCACAATAAGGAAAGGGAAACCATCCAGAACTAAGCCTTTCGTATGGAAACCGGCTCTACTTCAGACTAGGGGTTAAACACTTAAACCCCTCCCCTTCACAATGACCAATCAAATCTGTTTTATAAAACCACCTGAGAAAGTGGGGTACCTATTAGAGGTTGGCCAACTTACTGGCTATTTCAAAAGACTTTTAGAAGTCTGGGACTAAGGTTACTGTGTTCATTGTCTAAGGGTGGGCCATGGGGAGGGGACAGAGCATTCTACCTTGTTGACTATATAAATGTGTAAGGACTCCTTCTGAGATATTATTTAGCCCATTTACAAGATCAGTGCCCTTGAAAGAGGATTGTCAAGGGCTGTAGTTCCCTAAAGGTGGTAAGACCATCCTTGGGCCAACAAAGTGACTGACTGGCAATGCCCTTCAGGTGGTAGACACTGATCTTGGATACCCTGGAGATATGAGACATTTCACCATTACTGTCCTATTGCCCTTGGATTTCTTTCAGGATGGCCAACACTTTCTGGTTTGCCTGAGACTTTCCTGGTTTCAACAGTAAAAGTCCCATGTCCCAAGAGAACACCCAGGCCCAGGACACCAGGATGGTTGGTTATTTCTTAGACAAGTGAGGTCTGATTGGTAAAGAAATTATGTGGGAAGATATGAAAGGAACAGAAAAGTCCAAGGAAACTGGAAGATGGAACTTTCTTGGATTCTAATAGTGGTTTAGGAATTAGAATTCATTCATAACGATATTAAGGAAAAAGATGTTGGGGAGGGGCTAGACTATTCAAACTGAGAAGCTTTGCCTATAACTGTCTGACTTGCAACTGGACGTGTTTCATTTTAGTGACCTTGTCCCCTACCCCAATATCATTGAAATTTCAAAGATGGAAACAAAGAGAGACATATTCCCTTATTGGTTGTATAGTAGACAAGAGTTTGACCATCAACTCCAATACACATCTGAAGATGAGGCCATAGGGAAATTATGTGAGAAACACCAAGAAATAAAAAGACCTAGTGTCCTTATTGAACTTACAGTATTTAATTAGGACCTTAGGATCATTTTCTGACACCAAAGATGACAAAAAGAACCAAATTCCAAATTATAAGGTAATACTAAATTTGATATTGATAGAGACAGAGAGAGAGACAGAAAGAGAGAGACAGAGAGAGAGAGAAAATCTTTATGGAAGTTCATACTGGACCAGTTACTAATTCTGAACCCTTAAAATAACAAAGTAATAATAAAGCCTTAAGAATACCAAAGAGTAATAAAGGTATAACAAGCCTTGTTTTTTGGACTCTGACTTTGGTGTGCATTTTAACCAAGCAGGATTAATTCATGTCCAACAAGCTCCACATGCTTATGTTTATTTATAATATTCAATATTCCCATAGGCACCAATATTCCAAATGGAAGGTTGCATTTTGATAATGGCCATTCCTTCATTAAGATTTCATCATCTACCTACATTAAAAAGCTTCTCCCTACACTTTGTTGCTTTTGCTTTCACCTTGTTTATTCCTGCTTTACTTGCTTAATCTTGAGATCCTGGCTTCCCAGGCACTCTCAAATTTAAAACAAGCAAAGTTTGTGCATTAATGTGTCCTGAGTATGCATGATTTATGAATGGCAGCTTTCTTGGCACAATTTAATGGTATTAGAGAGACTTTGTTCTAAACATTAAAGTAAAAGTCAAGAAGTGACAACAGTGGATGGGATATTAGAACATAATAGTGTGTAAAGAAGTTTGGGTCAAGAGTTAACCAGTTTTTGCTTGGTATGTTTCTTAATCTGTAGACTGATGCTCTGACCAGTTTAATAGTTTATAAAGAGCCTTGGCATTTGATCAACTAAAAAAGTATTTTATAAGTATTGTTCTGAAAACTTACCCAATCAAACTCTCACTCTGCAGAAAAAAAAATTGGTTGCTAACATTGATATCAATAAAGAAAAAAAACAACATCTTTGACAAGTCCAAAAAAAATTGTTTTCTCTTTATTAAGCATACTAATCATATTCAGGCCATTTTCTATCATAAAGTTTTTCTTCTTAAGAAGTCTTTTGCAAATCAGTTTATCAGTCAGTATTACTAAATTTCTTAAAGAAAAGCCAAAATCTTCATACTATCAAGAAAACTACCCTTTCTGAATAAAATTAGAGTCCAACTCTTACTATATGCTCATGTAACAGAAAGGCTCAATATTTAAGTCTATTTTTCTCATTATAAACTATGATCTCAAATAATAAAATTTTGTTTAGTAATTATAACTAAAATATACTTAGTAAACAAAATAATAAACTAATTATTCCAAATGATACCTTGTTGAGACATCCCAACCACTTCACACCCAAACCAGTCATGTCTAACCTGTCTCTGAAGGCAGCTAAATTGAAGAACTCATGAGATTATAACTCAGGTACTCAAGTAACAACATAATAAGTTTACATGTAAGTTTTTAATGTGTGATGCAATGATTGCTCATAAATACTTCCTGAGGACCTGAAATTAATTTTAGGAAATGCGGACTGGTAAAGCCCAGGACTTAAGCAAGCTAAGGACTCACAAGACAACTTGATACTTTGCTTCCTACATAAGCCTTCTATATTCTTTATGGTGGAACCAGCTCTGAACCACATTCAACATTCAGGGTACTTGTCACTGCAAAGAACACTGGCCAGCGGATAGAGCCCTACATGGCACATAGACACAATGGATTACCTTGTAGATTTTGCAATGGCAGAGTCATAATGCCTCCGGCTGCAGCTGCTGCTACCAGCCCTTGAATGTTGGTGAGATTCGCAGTAGGCAGTGTGAGGACCAGTCCCTGTTGCCCTCCTAGCTGTCCGGCCATGTTGAAGGGAATGAGGATAGGCTGGTTCAGGGCTGGCGTGCCTCCTGGCATCACACTAGCGACAGCAGAGGCTAACTGCTGTGCTGTCAGAAGTGGCTGCAAGGAAACAGATAATCCTAGCTCACTTTCCAGTGGAACCAAGACATGGGCTGTTAGACCAATTTTCTTCCACTTATGTGGGGTCAGAGAGTTCCTGAATAAGTAGTAAAGAAATATGCTCTGGACCAGGAAAAAAAAAAATTGACTGGTAGAAAAAAAATCACATTTTACTTATATTTTTGGAAAATTCCATTTGGTTCTAACATCCTCTGAGGCATTCAAATACCTTTAAAATAATACCTTATGCTTACATATTATTCTTCGAGTGAAGTTTCATTTGATCTACCCTTATATATTTTAAACTCTCTGCTAATTTATTCTGTGTTGTTCCAGAAATAATTCATTGGGATCAGTGGAAATTTTTTGTTGTTCAAAAATAGCAACAAAATACTATTCTCATCTATTAAATTGGCAAAAGTAAAAGAGTTACTTTGTGCTGGTAAGTTTGTAGTGACAACATTATGTGGATTTAGGACATGTACCCTATCATAAGCCTTTTGGAAAGCAATTTGGAGATCCATATCAAGAGCTACAAAAATATTCATCCCCTTTTGACTCAAAATATACTCTTAAGATATAAGCTAAAGATATAATTCAAACAGAAAAAAGAAATGCATGAAAATATGCATTACATTTTAAAATACATAAATGCTGAAAATAGTTTGTTACAGTACTAAGCTTGGTATCACCTACTCTTTAAAATGAATCATTATGGCACATTTTTAGAAAAATAGAAAATGTTTATAATATAAAAATACATGAAATAAAATGGAAAATAATTAAGCAAATGATAATGAAATCAGTGTTAAGATGGAAAATTATATATGTATACTGACAAGAGTTAAAAAGAAATATAGAAAAAAATATTTAATGTGGATAAATTTTTAAATATTTTAAATATTTCCTTTGTTATCACTCTAACATTCATTGCCCAGTTAAAACAATATTAAAAATACATGTTTATGTCCACTGTTTAGCCAAGAACCATTGTTTGATAGGAAAAGGCAGCCTCATAGGTATGTACTCTGGGCACAAGACATATTTGAGCTGGGTGAGGGCTCTTAACCAGGATGACATAGGGAGGAGTCCTGCCCTGGCAAGTCCAGAATACCCAAAGGGTCATTGATCTTAGAGTCAGAACTTTCATTGCACCCCTTTAGGAGCTTTGGGAGCTTTGGAAGGCATAACCCCATGTCATTTTTTTTCAAGACAAACCAATACAAAATTCCTATTGATGGTTTTCAACATTTTTGTTTTTAATGCAGCATTATTCTATAAAGTAAAAAGTAATTCAATATGGGCATAGTACAAAGCCCAATATCTAATAGCCAAGGACTATTCTAGTGTTGCTCCATATCTATTATCTCTGTTATCCTACCACTGAGATACAGAGAGGTTAGTAATTTGCCCCAAATCCCACGTCTAGTGGGGGTGAGGGGCTCAAATCCAGCAGGCTGCTCCAGAGCCCACATTACATCCCTTTCTCATCACTCTCAATTCATGGAAGAGATTTAGAGAAGTGGGGCTACTTTTTTTGCAGAATCAGGGGGAGGAGGGTTGAGACCACTCTCTGACCATTTCCTATAGTCTGCCCTCAAGGCTTCTTCTGCGGAGACCTCTGAAGAAGCCTTAGGACTCCATGCAACCTAGTTTTAGAACCATAGCTCTAGACTCTGTGGGCCTAGCTCCTAATATATTTGCTAGACTTATTAAATTCACACAGATTAACTGTGCCTTTTTAAACAAAAAATAGGTACCATAAAGCACAAAAATAAATATATGTTTTAGAAATAAGTACAAAATTATAAGCTGGTTCTTAAATTGCTGGTGTTATATCATTGACAATCGTAATTCAAGATAAGAAAGAAGGCAAATGGGTAGTCTTTAGGTTGTATACAGATTTGGGGGTTTGGGTCTCAGGCATTTTTTAAAATTAATTTTACAGGCTTAAAGCAGGGCATGCACTCTCCAGTTTGTCACTGTGTCCACAACTTTTCTCTATCTGGGTCTGCCATGCTACTTACACAAAACCTGGAAGCCTTAGAGTTTGTTATCCTTGGTATGTTCACACACACACACACACACACACACACACACACACACACACACACACCATAAGCATGAAATCAGAAAGAGCACAGCTAGAAAAAGCCAGTTTCTGAGATTCCCAGTAAAATTTCTCTGGGCTTTCCTAAGAGAGTAGACATCTCCCCAGGCTTTCTGTCTTCCAGGCCTTGTGTTCCAAGACAGACAGTGGGATCTGAGGCCATAGGGAACTTGGTGGCACTGGAAAAAGAAAGTCAAGACATCCAAGCTCTAAACTTGGGTTTTCAAGTCTTGAATTGGTGAACCCTCAAAGTACCAAACCGGATAAATTTTCAGGAATAAAAATGACAGCAAAAGAGAGAGGAAAGCTCAGAGATCAGCTTCTTTTTCCATAAAATTGGGTTGAACTCTGAAAGCATCACACTAAAATAACAGAGGTAAAAAGAAAAAAAAAAGCCCAGCTTATCATAATTGTGTCCTACATCTCCATATAACCGTACCAGGCTGCAAAAAGCAAATATTAGACTTTAAAAAATAATGAATGTATTTCTTTATTAATGCAGGGGTTGTATGTGATGTACAATATTGTCAAACCCAATAAGCTGAACTTGCATTAAAATTGCATTAACTTTTTTATATTAAATTACATCTTGTATTGCAAAAATGACTATAGTGAGGTTGAAATAACTTAATTTTCTTCACACTCCAGTCATTAAAGTTTTACTTTCTAGAAAACTGCATGGTAACCAACAACACAGTTGTAGTGGCTCTTAAGAAGAAGAAAAAAACACACACACACAAAAACAGAATTTCAAATGATTAAAACCAATATTTCCTGTAAAAAAAAAAAAAAAAAAAAAGAAAAGTTCTGCAAACCCATTTTTTTTCCTGATGGTATTTAATAAATAATGTCATACAGCTTCCCATACAAATATTTATCACCATCTTTTCTCTGTTGGAGTTAACTGGATTGAACTCATTATTATTTATTTGTTTGTTTTATATAGTTAAATCATTTTATATGCAGCCTAATGGAAAGCAGTTGAGAGATACTGACCTGTGGCCCAACCGAGAATGGGGGATGAGTTTGACTGGCCTGGTGGTGGTCAGGAGTGCCTGGTTCTGATAGTGCTGGGTTTCCTCTGGCCCCTGGAATTCAAGAGAAGTATTCCTTTAACACACAATCAAGCCTGGGAACTGCACATGACCCCATTTTCCTGTGACATCACATAACATTAAGGCACAGATGACATACCAGAGTGATTTATCAAAGCTCTAGCACTCAAATCACCAGTCAACTGCATAAATTTTGCTAGCAACCATTCAGGATGGCCAAAGTCATTCCAGGAGGTAGCAGGTTATGACAGCAAGGAAAGTGATACTATCATAAGTGGTGCAAATGGGCTTGTGTTATACATCAGTTTGCATGGGGTATGCCAAGGCATCATTTGTGTGGGAAATTGCATTCTTTATGCATAGGTGGGCTACAGATAATCTAATTTCCCAAAGCCAAAGAAAGTGACCTCAGACATGACCAAGTATAATTATACTATCCCTCAGTGACTTCATACGCTTAAGCCCTTCTCCATACAACTTCAGACGGCAAATCTTACAAATGTGTTTTCCTAAAAACAAAGCTTTTTTCAATGTCACCTTATGTGATGTCCTAAAAAGAAATATGGGCCTCTTTAAGCAAACTTTCTGGGTGCTAAAAGAAATAGTAAGAACCCCACACTTCCTCCAGGGACCCCCACTCTGCTAAGCATAGAACATAACTTATTTCCTTCGCTGAAATCCTGTTGGACACCAAAGCATGAAAAATGAAATGCCACCAAAACAGCAGAGATTTCAAGCCTTTTTAAACATTATAGCTACTCTGTGTGGGCTTATATGCTTTGTTTCAAGACAAACCATATAGGAGGTAAGATAGTGGCAGTACAATAAATACATGAATAAATAAACACATGAATAGAGCTAACAGCAATTTGAGGGGGAGAGGGGTTAGTGGTAGCTTTTATTTTCTTAGTGGTTGAAACCCAATTCCAAGTCATCCTTAACAGGACCCTCTTTCCTGATATTTATCCTATGAATAGCAGGTGGAAGACAACTCTGTTTACTGGCGTGTCATAGATGACCAAGAAAAAAAGACATGATTCTGTCACACTTATAAATTTTAAAGAAGGTATTATTGCCTCATTTAAAACAAATTCTTCTATATAGTCTCCAAAGGGACAGACTTATAAATAATGGAAATGTGGAAAAAATATTTCAGCACATTAAGCTACAAATAAAATTGACTGCTACATATTATTCAATTGACTTGTATCTCCACTGTGATGTGTCAATCATAATGCCATTTTATAATAGGATTAAGCAATAAATGTGCAAAGCCATTATGCAGAAATCTGAAAATCTGATTAATTTATAATATTTTTGTGTGCAGAAAGTCAGGAATAGACATTGCTTGGGGAATACTTACAAGCATTCTATTGAAATTTCTAAATTGATTTGGAACAAACTAATAAAAACACAGACTTGCTGACATTTTATAAAGTGAATTCTGTCAAAATATGTTTGGCATTTTAATGACTGCTGTCACTTAATAACAAGGGTAAGATGACCCATCATAAGATGCCAACAATTTCCCCATAATGTGCAGGAGATCTTTCCTCTAAATTTTTTATACGTGATTTACTTATTGTGCTCAAATAGCAGGGAACTTTAAACTGGAAGCTGTATTATGCATTATAAATCTCACAATTTCTCTTCTTATATACCCAAGTCTTATTTTGTCTTAAAATTCTCAGCAGAGCTTTATGTACTTTTATAGAATTAACCAGGTCCAAAGTGATGCTTTTGGTCAAATATTCACATTAGATGAATTCTCAAATGGCAAAAAACCCACTTTGGTAAGTTTTTAAAGATGTTTTTAAAATTTGGTTGCTTCCTCATACTCACCAGGTATGGATTTTTATACAAGACTGTGAAAAGAGAGTTTCGCAATGCACAGAAAAAGAAAAGAACCCTTTTACACAATTAAAAAAATATATATAATTTTTAAAAATTTCTATACCATGTCAGGCCCTTCAGCTTCATATTTCTTTCACGAGTACTGTGCTCATTTTTTACTCTGTTCCCAAAGACATACCATTATAGGGTTTAGGATTTGTACTATACAGGTACTGTGTCAACAAGAGTATGTGTTTGTTCCTGTAACTTTACACAGGTTACATTTGCTTATATTTTATACTCTGTTGCTGCAGGCCCTCACCAGCATACAGCAGCTTATTTGAGGCTAGTTATTTTCAAAAACCATGCTCAGTGCAGTACGGGGCAATTCAACAGAATTTTATGTGTAAAATGAAGTCTTTCATGGACCCTAGAAGAGATTATGTATGCTTTCCTGCCTGGATCAAAAGGTAATGCTTCTTCTTAATGCACATCTCCATTTTCCCCAAATGCACACATCACGCTTAACTTTGTAGGATCATAAACCAATCTGTCTAGTTGTAAGGCGGCTCCCAAATCAAGGATCTTCTAGGAATCAGTGGAGGAATCCAGCGGTCAGAATGAATAAATGACATTGGCTAAGGCTTTCAGAGAGATTTAAAGCAGTACTTAGCCTACATTAGCAGAGAATTTGAGGTTAGCTATCTCTGTGGGCACAAACATGAAAACATTAACTTAAATGGTTGGACAAGTTCTTCCTGACCAGGATCTTAGGAAACATATTACCTTTCTGGAGACCAAGAATGTCCAGAAAGCTCTCTGTGGCCTGTTCTGAATTTAATAATCTGTGCTTTTCAGGAAGCTACTGTGAACTCCAGTAGGGCAGGACTGTGTTTACTAGTTCACCACTTATACCCAGGTATAGTGAAGGCATTTCACTTACTTTGATTGAATATTAACTCAATAAAAATGGAGGCTTGGCTTTTAATATGGGGATGGTATAATTCCTTCAAGAGAGGTATTGGCATCCACTTGACTATTTACTGTTGTTTAGCATAAACCTTGGAAATATCTTTAAATCATTAGCTTGTGGCAAACTTTACCTCAATTCCAATTTAGATGTTAAAAGCAGTTTGTTGTACAGTTTAAAAGCAAAGAGGGGAGGTAGGGAGCAAGAGAAAGAGAGAGAGACATCGATGTGAGAGAGGCACATTGATTGGTTGCCTGCTGCATGCGCTACTCTCTGGGTGGGGGATTGAACCTGCAACCGAAGTACCTGCCCTTGACTGGAAATCAGACAAGAAACCCTTTGGTGCACTGGCTGATGATCTAACCACTGAGAACACCTGCAAAAAGGAAGGACTCTTATTAAATTTTAATCTCAGCCTGGGTTTAAATTTAGTTCTGCCACTTCACTAGGTATCTGAACTTAGCCTTGTTTTCCCTCTTCTTTTTTTTTTAATTTTTAAATTTATCTTTACTGTTGAAAGTATTACAGAAATCCCCCCTTTTTTTCCCATTGATCCCCTCCACCGTGCATCTATCCCCCTAGGCCTTCACCCCACTATTGTCTGTGTCTATGGGTTATACATATATGCATATAAATTCTCTGCTTAATATCACCTGGCCCACTCCTCTACCCCTGAGTTCCCACTGAGATTCTCAGTCTATTCCATGCTTCTATGTCTCTGTATCTATTTTTTGCCTCAGTTTATTTTGTTCTCAAGTACAGTCTCAAAGATAGACCACATGTTAGGGCACAAAATAAGTCTCTACAAGTTCAAAAAGGCTGAAATCATGTCCAGCATATTCTCAGATCACAATGGCATGAAACTAGAAATCAACCACCATTTAAAAAACTGCATTCCAAGGAGAGAAACAAGATGGCAGCAAAGGTAACAGCTGTACACGCTGCCTCCCACAACACCATCAAAATTACAACTAAAATACAAAACAACCATCACTCAGAACCCCCTGAAATCTAGCTGAACAGAAACCCTACAAGGAGAGAGGTGAAGAAGCATCAAAACTATTAGGAGGGGCAAAGATGCTGGCAGAAGGGGCTGAATCACGAAGACACGGCCACGCAACCAAAAACCCAGTGCCACAGTTTAAACCCGGGAGGAACATCTCGGTGGTGGAGGTTTCCCGGAGGAGAGGTCCCAGCCCCACATCAAGCCCCCAAGCCCAGGGCTCCAGGGCCGGGAAGAGAAATCCCCACAACTTCAGGCTGTGAAACCCAGCAGGGACTATTGCTGGGGGTCATGGAGGGTGTGGGAGTCCCAGGCAGCTTCACTTACAGGATTCACACACAAGCTCACTCAGACATGCTCCCTCTGAACTCCAGTGCCAGGCAGCAGCTTGAAAGGACACTTGGGGAGGAGCTAACCTGCCTGAGATTGGGGCAAGAGGTGGAGGGGCAGCTTTCTCCCAGGCAGAAGAGCTGACAGAGGCCATTGCTCCTTGGCAAACCCTCCCCCCACAGAGCCGACAGGCAGGGGCCATATTTGAATCTCCAGCACCTGACTCACACATTTGGCCCCACCCTGGTGATTCCCGGAGACCCCACCTTCCCCACCTGCAAGCTCATCCAGGCCATTTCCAGTGGCTTTTCTATGCAAGTGGCCTCTCAAGCCTTATGTTTAGGACCTTCCTAAAATCTCTCAAGCAAGCAGCAGAGTGTCCCGTATGGCTTGATAAGTGGCCCCAAGCCTGGCACTAGTGGCAGCCTACATTGGTTCATAGCTTGGCCTCTCCTAGACACCTCCAAGCCCAGGACAAGTAGCAGCCAACTACAGTTTGCTGTGTAGCTCATGCTGGGTGGCCCCGGGCAAGGCACTGGCAGAGGCTGACTTTGCACCTCTTGGGAGGCCCCAGAGACAGTGCACCTGGAGGTCAGACTTGACCACACTGGATTACAACCCTACCACATCCACGAGTGACACACTCAAGGGGTGCACTTGGTGAACACCAAAGCTCCACTGAAGTAAATCCTGCTCCATAGGGGTATCTCCAGCACAACAGCTCTTTGGCTGTAGCTGCAGCTGGTCCTCACAGCCAATTGGCCTGGGGGTCAATTCCTCTCAGTGATGCCAACAGCAACCAAGGCTCAACTACAACAGGTCATAGCACACAGCCCACAGAGGGGAGCCACTAGGAGGCCCAGTTCAGGTGACTGGGGAGGCTGGGGACTGGCACCT